CTGAGTGTTGTGTTTTAGCTTAAGCTCGGAATGAATTAGGTTTTGCTTGGCAAGTAATTGGCAACTGCAGGGAGCGGATATACCAGCTAGCGAATGGTAGTGGTCGTCACGCAGACTAGCAACGACTGTGTACAGCGTTCACACGACCCTAGACCACCTCTCTCTCTCTCTCTCTCTCCTCAGTTCTCTCTTATTCCATTTCTTTCTTTAACTCGCTCTTTTTCTATCTCTCTTCATAGGTCTCTCTATCTCTCTCCTTAGCTCTCTCAATCTCCCTCCTTAGCTCTCTCTCTCTCATGGATACATTACCAAGCAACAATTTCCACCAATATTATCCTGAGCTAAAGTCAATTTACCTTGACCGTAAAACTTCATCTGACTATTTAAAGAAGAAACAGAAAGAAGAGGATGGTTTGTGTTCACCTGAGAGACGCACTCTGCTCGCTGGACACATTAGGTGCACACACACACACACACACACACACACACACACACACACACACACACTACTACTACTACTACTACTACTAATAATAATAATAATAATAATAATAATAATAATAATAATAATAATAATAATAATAATAATAATCACATCAATAAAAAATCAATAAATAATATCAATATAATATTAAGTTCTCTACCACAATAAAATATAGCGTTCTCTTCCACAATAAAGCACGTTCTCTACCACAATAAAACACGTTCTCTACCACAACAAAGCACGTTCTCTACCACAATAAAGCACGTTCTCTACCACAATAAAACACGTTCTCAACCACAATAAAGCACGTTCTCTACCACAATAAAACACGTTCTCTACCACAATAAAACGCCAGGTCTCTACCACAATAAAACGCCAGGTCTAAGTATCACCAAAATCGTATCAGTTAACAGAGTCAACACGACCATGAAGGACAGCTTGTCATCCTCACACAACATCAAAACACACGTTGTATCCACACTCAAGACCCGCCCAGTGTGGATCAGAACAAAGGTCAAGCCGGGCAATCACATTCTCCTGACCTTGACCTAACTAAAAGAACCAGTTAACTTGTGCTTACGGAGAGGTCAACGGGGCCAGTGATCGTGACCAAGTTAATGAAGGGGTCAAGTAGAATTCTTTCCGTCGTGTGTTCTTTGACCTGAGCTTAAGGCCATGTGAGTGAATTAACCAATCACCGCAAAAAGGAATAAGAACAAGAACATAAAGAGCAAGAACAACATAAAGAACAAGAACAACATAAAGAGATAGAGAGAGAACTATAACGAAATATAGAAATTGACAGTGATAGATGGATCAGAGAGAGAGAGAGAGAGAGAGAGAGAGAGAGAGAGAGAGATAAAAGTATAGATAAGTAGATGCTAAACAGATGAATAACTGGAGAGACAGATGAATATATAGGTAAAGTACATATGGATGGATGGAGAAAGAGACAGACATAGATTGGTAGATAGACAGACAGACAGACAGACGGAGAGAGAGTAAAAAAAACAGAGTAATATTAACTGATAGACAGACAGATACAGAGAAGGAGGGAGGAGTGAAGACAGAGTGAGAAATGTGGGAAGGAGGGGAGAGGGAGAGAGGGAGAGAGGGGGAGAGGGTCGTGTCAAAAGAGGTTTGGGAATGTCCGTCAAGCTCATAATAGTCTACCCAGAGTGACACGACGCATGGAGGCAAGACATTTTCCTGGAGACGAGTGTTACTAAATTCACTAGAAAAAGGTTTTATTATATTTGTGTAAGAAAAGTATTTATATTTTATGATTCCGTTAAAACAAAGAAAAATATGAAGCTTCCCAAATTCTTAGCCAGGATAAAAAAAAAATTATTTTACCGAACTGGGAATATCGAGGACTTGAGAATGACAGCTGTTTCTCCACCTCCAGCCGTGACGGGTGTGAGGGAGGGAAGCTGACCAGTGTTATCCTTCTCACACACTCAGTCGACGAGTGGCAACCTGTCTGTCATACTTCACCTCTCTCTCTCTCTCTCTCTCTCTCTCTCTGTCTCTCTCTCTCTCTGTTCCAGCCCTCTAAAGTTCTGAACCTAGAGCCAGCGTTTTAAATATTTAGTGTTGTTAAAGGTTGTCATCCTTGTATCGTGGCCAAGATGGACCACAACTCTGCCTGGTCTTTTATTTACTGATTAAACCTCCCTCCTCCTCCTCCTCCTCCTCCCCCCGAAGATAAAATAATACTTTGAGTGAGGGAGAACAGTTGAGAATTATTTGCCAAGTCTCACATCAGAATTCTCTTAAAACTATTTCTGAAGTTCTTCTAAACACACACACACACACACACACACACACACACACACACACACACACACACACACACACACACACACACACACACACACACATCCTAGTCCTCTCCCTCCATCCCACCCACCAAGTTTGCTCTTAATGATTCAGCCTATAATATATTCATGAAATATATCCGTTCTGGAAGGTATCTGCCCCCTCTCTTCACTCTCCTAGTATCTCCTCGACTCATGACTTAAGCCTTCCCATATCTCCCCGTCCCGCCCCTTGCCAGTCTTCCTTTCACTGAGACATTATCCTTCGTCAGGTCGGTGCACTAGTCCAGGTGGCTCTATAATTACAGTCTTCTTCCTGACAAGACTCCCGGGTATATTTCATATCCTCCAGCTGCTCTTAGTGTAAAAAAAAACGAATTTATAAATATTAGTTACGTCATCTTTACACGAATTAGTAGATGATAAACACAGACAATTTCATCTAGAGAGAGAAATATGTGCGGAACGAACCTCGTATTGGCTTCAGTATTCACCTAAGAAATTATTCCATGAGAAACAAGTGAAAGTGTTACCTTCCCTCCAGGGTCGTGAGCGGCTGTGTGTATGTGTGTGGTTGGCGGGAAGCCGACGAGTGACCTCAGGGTCACGGCTTTATGCCTCCTGTTTCATGACTGCCAGCTGCTGAAGCGACGTGTGACAGTACACACACACACACACACACACACACACACACACACACACACACACACACACACACACACACACACTAATAAATATATACACTTCCTTCTTGCTCAAGTTGATATTGTTCATAAAGTATACAACAGTTGATTGGTTTTATGCAAATATCTCAATCAGCGGCAAAAGGTTCACACGTTGACCATGAAACACACACCAGCTGCAGCTGTCATGGGGTGCAGTGCTTAAGTGAGCTGGCGTCCATATCTTACATCACACTTTAGAGAGAGAGAGAGAGAGAGAGAGAGAGAGAGAAAGAGACTCTCAGGGCCTCTTGAAACAACTAATACAACAAATCCTTTGGTCAACACAATAAACGCTTACTGTGTTACACCACCACAAACAACAACAACAAACAGGTCCTTCAGGATTCATATAAACAACAACATCCTGCCAAGTCACTCGTGGGAAAACATCACTACTATAACAAGGAGTAAACTGGCCGCTTGAGGACGTCACGGCCTCCCTCAGGAATCACCTTTAGCATACAGAGAACGTCTCCGGTAATGTCTGATCAGTGGGCACCAGCGGAGTCACCTTGTAGTCCGGCACACAACAGCGAGTGACTGAACGCTCTTGAGGACTTTGTTGTTTCCTGTTTGACTGTAATTATCCCCACCCCACCTTACGTTACCTGGTGATTAAAGAACACTAATGCTACCTAGAGAGTTGGGTTTGGGTTGGGTTGGGTTGGGCTTGGGTTTGGGTTGGGTTGGGTTAGGTTGGGTTAGGTTAGGTTGGGTTAGGTTAGGTATACAGTGTTCAGGTGATCCATTATCGTCCCCGTTCTCACCATATAAGAAATAAGACGAAACAGATCAATTAAGGAGTAAGGTAACAGGGGACAATATTCTCCACGTGTTTTGGCTCCTCGGTAAGAAGACCAACGATGAGGCAGATGGTTGACTATCTCCACAAATACCAATACCTATACTTTAGCTTCTCTCTCCCTCAGATGATCAGGTACCAAGAGAGGGAGACGAGGAACAGGGTGAAGCACGTATATACAACTATCATTATTTGGTCTCCTCAAACATGGAGGAGACGAAAAATGAGGATGATAATAGACAAGAAACTGAATACAATTATGAGACGAGGTGGGGGTGAGGGGTGTGGATGATGGAGGGTGAGGGGTGTGGATGATGGAAAGTGAGGGTGTAGAGTAAAGGATGATGATAGAGGCACAGGAAGAAACAGAGTGTAGGAGGACAGTAAGACACACTGGGTGGTGGGCAGGGTTATTGACCTTACACAGGCTAACAAAATTTTAATGTTTTTTCTGTGTTTTCAATTCGCCGCGTCAGAGAGGGGGTGACATCACAGTTGTTGATATAACCTGTCACGGGGCGAGAACCTCTGTGTCAACACCCTCCAGGCGTCAGTAACCCTAGCGGGGGCGCCTTAACAGCTAGCTGGTCAGGTGAAATAAGCTGAGGGGCTAATCTTCAGGTGATCCAATAGACGAATATTAAACATTGATGGTGAATATAGAATTTAATCAGTAAGTAGAAAGTGGATATTTTGCCGTGAACTAAAGTACTCTTGTAAATAAGGCTATCAATACAAGGCAAGCTTTTTGCTGTGAAGGTTAGGTTATATTAGATTAGGTTAGATGGTTGTACGTTAAATTCGTATAAAAAAAGCATGTGTGTAGTTTTAAAACCTTGGCGGTAAAACATCCGCTGATCTGTGAAATATTCAGACAACGTGGGAGTCTTGCTTCTCTGGGCAAGTCAAGATATATAATTTTTGTGTGTTCTTGTGTACTTTTCTGTCTGTCTCTGTTTAATAACAAATAGCTGACGACGAGTTAGTCAGTAGAGTTTGTTGTGTAGTGTTAACGGAGATATAGTATTAATGCTCCTACATCTTTATATTCAGTATATATGTCCAGTGCAGTATGTCCACAGCAGAGGTTAATGGCCGTCCCTCGAGGCGCCCGTACAGTGAGCTCAGTGTTAACTTGTGTATTTTGACGATGGTGTTTCCTCTTGCAGACTGACTTGCTGGAGGCTCGCCTGGGTAGCAGCTCCAGTAGAGGCAGCAGCAGAAGCAGCAGCAGGTGCAGCAGCAGAAGCAACAGCCCATGCCCGGACTCTGAGAATGGTGGAGGTAGTGAGTGGTGTGGTCGGTGGTGTGGGCGGTGGTGTGGGTGGTTATGTGTGGTGAGGCTGGCACAGTTCTCCCTCTGCCTCACTCTGGTTGCCGCCGCCACCCACCTCATCATCGCTGCTTTCACCTCAATGCTCATAGCGACGCCCACTCCCCGCCCACGCCCGCCTGTGCCATCCCTACCAGAGCACCAGTTGCCACGGCCTGAACCATCCAAACTGCTAGACTTGCACGACTTCCACTACGTGCAGGAGGCGGGCGAGGTGTGCTCCCCTGCACGACTGTTCTTCGTTTTCCTGGTCCACTCCCGCCCTGACCACTTCCGGCAGAGGCAGGCCATCAGAGCCACATGGGGTGGCCACAAGGACCTTGATGGCGGGTGGGCGGCTCGCACCGTCTTCCTACTGCAGTGGCGGGTGGGCGGCTCGCACCGTCTTCCTACTGGGACAGGGCAGTGGGGGCGGCGGAGAGGCGGGGGAAGAGGACGGCATGGGCGGTCTGGAGGTAAGAGAGTTAGTGGAGCAGGAGGCAAGGCGTCATGGGGACCTCGTTGTGGGCAGCTTCACCGACCACTACCACAACCTCACGTACAAGCACGTCATGGCGCTGCGTTGGGCCGCCGACCACTGCGCCCACGCCACCTACCTTGTCAAGGCCGACGATGACGCCTTCATAGACGTACCGGCGCTGAGAGCGCTGCTAGGGCGCACCTTCCCTCTCCCCCCTCCCCGCCGCACCCTTGCCTGCAACGTCCTGCCAGCTGGGACACAGCCGCAGCGAACAGGCAAGTGGGCGGTGAGCGAGGTGGGCTACCCGTGGCCCGAGTACCCGCGGTACTGCGCTGGCCTGGCCTACGTGGCCACTCCTGACCTGGCAGACAAATTGTCCCGTGTGGCGGAGGCGGGTGTGGCGACCAGGATCTGGGTGGACGACGTGTGGGTGACGGGGCTGTTGGCAGAGTCGCTGAGCCTCCAGCCTCACTACCTCAATCTACGTTACTCCTTCGACCACAACGAAATGGCGGCGTGGGCGACCCGAGCCAAGCCCGCCGCCCCGCCTCCATACATCTTCGCTCATCTCGACCCAGCCTGCCCGGACTGGCGACCCACACTACACACTCTCTGGCACCACGCCCTCTCCGCCCACCATGTCTCTTCCACCACGCCCACGCCCTCGAGTACCTCCACAACATCTCGGTCTAGATAGTGTCAGCTGCACATACCACTGTTGAATTATGTACAAATACCCATCGCACCGCTCAGTGACTCCAGGACTACTGTGCTCTCATCCACACATCCTTCCCAGTGTCATCTGTGTAAAATAGAGAAAATATGAATTACCATGTTCCACTGTGTGCCATTTTGTTACATACGCGCGCACACATACACACACTCCCCTACACACATACACACACAGACATTCTCCTAACATAAATACACCCATTGGTACCGCAAAGCGCACATGCAGAACGCCCCCCACACACACACGCGTTAAGCTACACATGCATACGTAACGTGCTTATTTGTGTATATTTGTAAATAACGACAGAAATATTCGGAAATGTTTCTATCAAACGAATTGTCACAATTCTGTGCCAAACGAATAAGTGTCCTGAAGGTGGCCACATCACCCGCCGCACCCCACTACGGTCCTGGAGGCCACACCCCTAAGGCCACATCCCTATCCACGCCACTGGACACACGGCAGGAAATACTCCAATAGTGAGACAATAGCGAGGAGGTCAACATGACTGACGACTACTGGAGTTTGTTCTGTGTCCCAGGTGTCGTGTACACAATAACACACACATACATACAAACACATGGACACATATACATACATACAGTAGACACATAAACACTGGCATATGTATTCACACACACACACACATATTATATATATATATATATATATATATATATATATATATATATATATATATATATATATATATATATATATATATATATATATATATAATGGTTGCCCTTGGTGTAACGAGGATGGCCGGCCCAAGGGCCACCTAGGCGTGAATTTGTTTAAGGTGTGTTGTCGCCAGCACAACAACCACACCCAAGTTTACGAATTGCATGATCCAGTGTCAAGAAATAGTCCGAGAAGACCGGACAACTCGCCAACTGCACTGGCTAACCATTACCCGGGACGGACACACACACACACACACAGACAAGGACAAATAAACACATGAATTTGTTTATATCTCACACCATGGGAGCGGCGGCGGGAAATAACAATAAGAAAGAGAGAATAGGTAATTAGTGTGCGACATAACTTTACCTTACCGAGACAATGCGACTCCTCACCCACTGAGAAGAACACGAGAGGCAGAGACAAACCCCCACGAATAACAATATTAAACTAAGAACCACACCATAAGGTCGACTGAGTTTACACGTGCTGGGGTTTTATTTCTCCAAGTTTTTTCAGTATATTTTGTGTTCTTATTATCCTCCTTGATATTACTCCTTTACGTGATATCGTTCATTTTCGTCTAATTCTATTTCTTATCGTGAATTGTTTTGTTTTCGGGGTGTTGTCACGTCCAGTTTGTGTGTGTGTGTGTGTGTGAGGAGACGGTAAACAGCATAGCCTTTGGGATAATTATTATCTTGCTTGTGTTATCCGTCAGAATTTTCTCTAATTAATTCAGCTTTTTTATAATTTGTATAGTCCCTCAGTGTTTTGATTAAAACCCCAAAAATGTATAAAGTAAAATATCGTAACTAATAAGAGAACGCGCCGCGCTTTTGTTAACGTTCGCCTAACTCACCTAACGAAATCCGGATTCACAATAATATTATTACTTTTTTGTACATGAATAATAAGCTAAGTAGCATTTAATCATATTGTATCGCTGTTAAAAGGCACAGTTCTTGTTGCGTCCATGGCGTTAACAATACCGTGTAAATATTAACACTCCACACTCCAGAATTAAAAGGTCACCTCTCTCTCCCTGTCTCTCCGTCATGGATAAAGTCATCACGGTGTCACACAAGGTGGACCAACACGCACGAATGATTCTGGTTTGCTGTAAGTCAGGAGCCGTGGCGCGGACAATAATCACATCACAGAAACACGACGAAAGTAACTATGAGTCAGGTTAATATGAAGTGAACATTCCCCAGATGACGAAGGTAACGCTTGATATGTCGCTGATACATTTGGTGGTAATATAAAGGCCAAGTGACACACGGGGAAATATCTCGACTTTTTTCCCCAACAGTTATATTTTATGACTTTACGTGTACAGTATGTTTTCAAGTAAATTTTCACATCTATGTAATTCAGATAAAGAAATCTTAATACGTCTTTAATAATGAAGTAACTGTTTATGAATATTAATTACCCCACATAATACTATCTCACGAGTTTAATTTTGTCCCTCAAAATATATTATAAACATGTAAATGAAAACTTGTGTAGAAGTTTAAGATAAAATTAACTCTGATGACCAAGCAAGTTCAGTGCTTTAAGTGTGTTCCGCAAGAGTAAGTTTCAATATATATAATTGAGAAGTGAGTGAGAGAGTTCTTTGGTCGTTAATTCACACTATTCGCTATTTTGACTGTCTAGGATCCCCGAGCTAGCATTATATTAGTGTTTTTTTTCTTGAATTAAAAGAAAATTATCTTATTTCATCGATGTAATGAATTCTATGTACTGCACAGTCCCCTTCACTAGTGTGTTTACAGGGGCTCATCATATAAACATTCCACAAATCATTACTTTGAGATATTTGTTGTAATATTGTTTTACTTTGATTCCATAGTAAGTTTATACTATTGTGAGTTTCTTTCTGTCGAATGTAAACAAACACAGCGTTGCCACACTGCACAAACCCTTACGAGCGCCTGTAAACGCACTTGTGAAGGTGACTGTACATGATCTGTATTTAAATCTGTTATACTGAAGAAAAAAAATAATGTAAAGAAGACAGATTAAATAAGCTTCTGTTTGGAATTATGGATAATTAATTCATGTCTTTCTTTAGTATGTGTATGTCTAGAGTCAAACAAATTAATGTGGTTTATGTCTGAACTAAAATAAATATACGTGATTTATATGAGAAAATAACCAAATGTATGAGGTTTTTTGCCAAGATTTAACGTATAATAAAGAGCATAAATTAATGTGATTTATGTCTAAGTTTCAATTAACTCACGTGATTTATGTCTAGATTTCAATTAATCCACGTGATTTATGTCTAGATTTCAATTAATCCACGTGATTTATGTCTAGATTTTAATTAACTCACGTGATTTATGACTGATATTCATATTAGTGTGAATTTACAGACCTGAATTAAACATAACTTAAGGTTGTGTTGTAGAGGAGAGGCAAGAGATGGTGACTAAGGGAGGCAGTATGAGCCAGGGACGGGGTGTAGCGTGTACTAATCTGTGATATATGGCAGTAGTGTGATGTGTCTGTCTGTCTGTCACACTTGTTGTAATAAAAAGTGTGAGAGTTTACTTGTTTTTTTGTTTTCTTTACGTCCTTATAATTTGGGTCGAGTATAAAAGGTGGTATTTTTTGTAGTGTGTGTGTGTGTGTGTGTGTGTGTGTGTGTGTGTGTCTGTGTGTGTGTGTGGCGCGTGTGTGTGTGTGTGTGTGTGTGTGTGTGTGTGTGTGTGTGTGTGTGTGTGTGTGTGTGTGTGTGTGTGTGTGTGAAATATAAAATAACTATAAATATTTATAGAGTCAAGACAATGAACCAATAGGACACAAGGGCTTCTGGCAACACTGCAACCAACAGAGTAGTTAACCAGACGACCACGATGATTATGCCAGACGAAGAACAAAGTGATCCTTGTGGGTGAAGGTCACGTTAGTTGGCCACACTGTACCTGTAAGTATGGAACACACCAAACAACTCCCTGTGTGTGTGTGTGTGTGTGTGTGTGTGTGTGAAACCCCTAGTTATTATAATAATAATAATAATAATAATAATAATAATAATAATAATAATAATAATAATAATAATAAGAATGGTTATGTCTGAACACTGTTGACATCACCTGAACCTGTACAGTAATGAAGCGGTTAATTAATAAAGTACACCTGGCCACAGATTATATAATAAGCGGTCATCTGTCTTGTATTAAGACGAATATTCTGTTTTACTTGAAAAAATATAGACAACCTAAAGTTATATAATATGCAGGTGAAAAAACTCTATACAGGCACCACTACACAGCTGTAAATGCAATATAACACAGGTTGTGAAAAAGAGATTACCCAACACTGTTGCCAGCCTCGGTGTAATGAGAGGTGATGGTCGTCTCATGGTCAGCACGCTCCCCTCACAGCGAGTGGACCCGGGTACGATCCCCGGGCAGCGTGAAACTATGGCCAATTTTCTGCTCGTCATTTGGCTCTGTCTACCCAGCAGTAATTAGGGCCGTGGAAGTTAATCACTATCCTGATCATGTTCCCGGGTAATGGTTAGCCAGTGTAGTTGGCGAGTTGTCCGGTCTTCTCGGACTATTCCTTGACACTGGGTCATGCAGTTCGTTAACTCAGGGTGTGGTTGTTGTGTTGGCGACAGCTTCTACACCTGAAGCAAATTAACGCCTTGGTGGCCCTTGGGCCGGCCATCCTTGAACACGACAGGCAGCCATTATTATCATTATATCATAGTGAGAGGAGCTCTTTAGGGATGAGCTGTGTATAGGCCTACTGTTCTGAGCCCTCTCGTCTGTGACTCATGTGTGGGGGTCAGACCAACACACTAAAATGTGTAAATTCATATTAAATGAAGGGACTCAGTCTTTTAGTAAAAACAGGGCGTGAAGCAGTTCCTCACCTTCGCCGCTGGGCTGGTGATGGACGATATCACTATTATTGCACTTTTTTATTTAAAAATAAGTGCCTTTGCATTTGTTACATCATATTTTTTATGTAATATAGATGCACGTCTAAATATATTATTGATAACCACTTAAATATATTGTTATTTCTGTGTTGTCATAATGATCAAGGGCATAATTATTTTCCATATGTATTAAAAAGGACATTCTTCCCTGAGAACTAAAGTAACTTGCCATCACCTGGAGAGTGAGAGGTCCAGGGTGGCAACACCAATGAGAGAGGAGGTGAGGAATAATGTCTTTTTGTCGTATTTTTTGCTATTACCTTCAGAACGGAATGTTATGTGGAACATAATCTCAGGGGTTTTTCTTTTTAGTTCTTTTTTTTACGGGAATCAGCCCACCCGGGCACAGGTCGAACGACCCACAACGGCGCCTAGGGGGGCGAAAAAAATAAGAACACAAAGAAATTAAAAATAGAAAAGAAAAAGGTTATACTGTATTAATCTACACCACGAAGATGCCTGGAAAACCAGCTTCTTAAAGTGAGACGCAGCTGGCGCTCCAATGTCTCATTTAGTTTCGATACTGATTCAGTTCGGAAGCAGACACAGACTCTTTATGGTAACTGAACCTGAGTGATAGCTTCCTCAGTGTCATGGCCTGACTGGACTACTCAAACTGTTAACTAAAAACAAAAGCCGACGTATAAGGCCAGGCGACGAGTAGCCTCCGTCAGACAAAGAAATAAGTAACCCCTGTGTATGTGGGTCACGTTAGCTGTAAGGAATAAAAACACCAAACAACTAAAAATTATTGTACCAGGTTCTTCCAGTATTTGTGAGGGAGGAGAGTGAATGATGGGTCGAGGTCACCCATCCTACATGACAGACGTGTAGGAATTTAAGGCTGTTTCTTCATGAGTGACCCCCTGGTGGCCGGTCGGTGAGGGCGGGAGATTATATGGAATGTAGAGTGAGGGGGGGGAGGAGGAGGAGACGAAGGAGGGCAGGAGGAGGTAGAAGAAGAGAGGAAGAGGGAGAGGGGAGG